GGGGGGGGGGGGGGGGGAAATCCAGAAAATCACATTGTCTGTTTTTTAAAGAATTTATTTGCAAATCATGGTGGAAAATAAGTATTTGGTCAATATCAAAAGTTCATCTCAATAATATATCCTTTGTTGGCAATGACAGAGGTCAAACGTGTTCTGTAAGTCTACACAAGGTTTTCACACACTGTTGCTGGTATTTTGGCCCATTCCTCCATGCAGATCTCCTCTAGAGCAGTGATGTTTTGGGGCTGTTGCTGGGCAACACGGACTTTCAACTCCCTCCAAAGGTTTTCCATGGGGTTGAGATCTGGAGACTGGCTAGGCCACTCCAGGACCTTGAAATGCTTCTTACGAAGCCACTCTTGTCTGATTTTTAAAGAATTTATTTGCAAATCATGGTGGAAAATAAGTATTTGGTCACCTACAAACAAGCAAGATGTCTGGCTCTTACAGACTTGTCTGATTTTTAAAGAATTTATTTGCAAATCATGGTGGAAAATAAGTATTTGGTCACCTACAAACAAGCAAGATGTCTGGCTCTTACAGACTTGTCTGATTTTTAAAGAATTTATTTGCAAATCATGGTGGAAAATAAGTATTTGGTCACCTACAAACAAGCAAGATGTCTGGCTCTTACAGACATACCTATGATGAAAATTACAGGCCTCTCTCATCTTTTTAAGTGGGAGAACGTGCACAATTGGTGGCTGACTAAATACTTTTTTGCCCCACTGTATTTCTGGCTGGCTAAAGTATAATTATACATTTTTGAAGTATGTGGATAGAACATTCACCTTTTTAATTAGTTATGGAACTATTTAGAACGGGATGGCCAACTTGTGGACTTTGAGATGTTGCTGAATTACAATTCCTAGCGCCCCTCACCCTTGACTCTGTTGGTTGGGGATGCTGGGAACTAAAGTCTAGCAATTACTGGAAAGCAACAAGTTGTCTGCCCGAGTAGATTATGAATTAAGGTGTTTTCAGACTGATTATGCTATAAATGTGCAGATATTCTACTTTTTCTATCATAAATTGATTTTACATGAGAAGAAAAGCGATGAAAGATTTGGTGGGATGCACAGGACAGTTGTAAATAGAAGATGACAGTACTGTGATCTCCCAAACGTTTTGTAGAAAAGGCAAGGTGATTACACAATAAATCATCATCTGAGAGTCTGCAATCTAATGTGTGATTTAATCATGTTCTAATGTAGTTTGCTTGAATGTAAGTGAAATGTGCTCCCAGTTTAGCCTTGATCTTTAAGCTAACAGATCCTTCCCTCGGTGTCTTAGCAATATGGCTTCTGTCCGCCACAGCACACTTTAACTTCTGCCAAGCTCCTTGACGGCGACTTCTAAAACAAGCATAAAATCTAATGAAAAGAGCAAAATTTAGAGAACGTTCTTTAGTAGTACAAAGTAATCGATCACTTTGAGCCCATTTTCGAAACGAAGCCATTAACGAAGAACAGCACCCCTAGTGGAGGCATATAAAATAGCGAATTGCGTATTTGACATTTAACGTTCTCTGCTTATCAAGCACGTTTTAAAAAAAATATAATTCGCCTAATGCCACCTCCTTCCTCAGGCCCCTTCCTCAAGAACAGACAGCAGCTAAGGCGGAGATGATCTCAGATCGCAACGCAAGTGAAAAAAATAACGTTTCGTTTTCCGTTTTAAATGAAGAAAAAAAAAAAAGGAAAGATCTAAAGCAGTGTTTCTCAAACTGAGCATCTTCAAGGCGTGTGGACTTCAACTCCCAGAATTCCCCAATCAGCATTCCTGGCTGGGGAATTCTGGGAGTTGCAGTCCGCATATCTTAAAGTTGCCCGCTCAGAAACCGTTTCCGACGGGCGCCCTGAGGGCGGGGCAACGGGAGGCTCCGCCGTTTCCTCCGAGCCGGGAGAGGGCCATGGTGCCGGTGCTTCCGCGGCTGTATCTGGGC